CATCTTTTACTATTGCATCTTTTCTTATTTTAAAAAGAAAAAGCATGAGAAGGCTGTTAAATGAGCAAGCTGAGCTCACGCTTGACAAATATTGGTTGGTTTACTCCTCAATAGCATTTTATGATAACACCAGGTGCACGTCTCTGTAACAGCTATGTTGAAATACTGACTGTTCATCTACTGGTTTGAAGAACTAGTTCATAAAATTACCTGTAGAGGCAAAAAAGTGGGAAAAAATAAATAAGATTCCTGAATAATTCTCGTATGAAATGACCAATTAATGAGCCAAAGGAAATCAGAAATGATCAATTAATGAGCCAAAGGAAATCAATCTACCAAGAAAATATTTAACAGGGTCAAAATAAGAACTGCAGCTGCAGTGCTAAATAAAGTCTAAGTCAGTTTTGATTTGTTTCCCTATAGCCTAAATACTCTCAGGTTGTAAATAGAACTAGGGAGGAAAGAAAGGTCTAAGGTACTCTCTGTATCTATGAACTCGTGCCCATACCCTGGCACAAACAAAAGGTCACATTACCCAATGTCCTTACATGTGCTAGTGCTTGTGTCCTGCTGCTGCTAAGAGCCTGAATGTGTGCTAATAATAACCACACAATCTAACCTTTCCCAGTGAGATATGGAGGAAAGGTTCTGAGTACCATACAACAAGGCCCAACATACTCAATAACAAAAATTGGGCTTAGCCAGCCAGGCTCCAGCATCAGCACTCCAGTGGGTATCAAAAGCAGTGGGCACTATCAAACCAAAAAGCTCATCTGCAGTAAATTGATGAAATGCTGCCAACAGAGAGCTTTCAGCATCCTTCTTTCTGATAGAGTGCTTCCTATTTGATACTTTTTTGGGGCAGCCCATCCTCCTGGGACATGGTTGCAGTGGGAATTCCCAGGGCGAGTGGTCTCCTGGGACACTGAAGAATATGTGTGATTCCTCATGTCTTCAGGCTGGGGAAGCTGTGCTGCTACAGCAGTGTGCCCAGATCACCTCACCAGCCTCCAGGTAAAGAAATGACTGGTATTTCTGCTCCAGAAATCAGCCACAATGTTTTGCTGTTGGGGGGCATTTGTCTTGGTGTTGGACAACTGTACAATGAGTGCAGCCATCATCAGGCATGCAGAACCACGTGGTGTGCCTGGATGCACTGCATCATGATTTTGGGCAGAGATAACAGACCAGGCACATGAATGAGGTTTCTCTTTCCATTGCAGAGTGAAAGGTAAAATATCTCCTGGCCCTGCCTCCCTGCCTCTCCTCCATCTCAAGCTCTCAGTGCACATTACCATGGCTGCAGCACTGACAGGTGAGAACAAACACAGTGTGTGAAACTAAAGCCTAAGGAAACTTGTTATTCCATCCTGATAATAGCCAACAGCAAGTGCTCTAGGAAGAAGGTGTCCAGGCAACCAAACGTAACAGTGTCCTGGAGAACTCCAGCAAATTGCTGCTCAGGGACTTCAGGAGCTGAAAGTAAGGTCTGGGGGCTTAATAGGCTGTGATTCATATTTCTCCATCTTCAAGGAAACAGTTGTCCAGTAACAAAGACAATAGTTTGCAGTGAGAGTCCCACTGTTCAGCTGTGTGTTGCAGAAGGTAATCTCTCTTGTTTCTTTTGAACCTATGTAGTGCTCCTCATTTGTGCTCTTAAGACAACTCAATTTTTGTTTCTTATTTGCTTCTTTTGCTTGACCCATGATTTTAGGCTTCTGTCATACAGCCCAGCAGACTTACAGGTAATCGGGGAAGCAACACTGACACCAGGAATGCCTATGCCCTAGTGGCCCCAGGGACACAAAATGTTTTTGAAAGCTTTCAGTGAGGATATTTTCCTCCAGGCCAACTCATCCTGGCAGTGTTGCTGTGTTAACTGTGTTTCCTAAGGTCCTCTATACTGTCACTTCCCTGGAAAATGAAGAAATATCTCAAAGATAAGAACTGTCCTATGGCAAGGAGAGAATATGCTATTAAAGGAGCAGATGCTGGGTGATCACGGTGTGTGCCTCTGGCAGTTTGAATGCCCACCTTGTACGAACAGGATAGAAACTACTAATTTCTGTTATCAATGTACACCGTGTTTTTCATGATGTTTGAGCAACCAGGAGAGATGTGCCACCGCTGGGGACATGGGGATGAGCCAGCTGCTGATTCCCAGCAGCCGGCTGAGGGACAGGCACAAAAACCAGCAGAAGCGTTGGGAGTGCTAGGACAGCCTGCACCACACAGTCTGACACAGCTGCTTATGGCAGGTATTATGCCAGGATGGGCTGTGTGATTTGAGGGAAACATAGTGAATTAATTTTTTGATGTGCAATGGAGAGTACGATGGATATATCCTGGGGGGAAAACTAGATGACAGATGGATGTCTGAGACAACTTGTGGCTGCCCACCACCACCATATTGTAATCACTGTCCCTCAAAAACCCATTCTCTCCAAGATTTCTAGGGATTTGCATAGGAAAGGTCCCTTGAGCCGTTACAGGAACAGAGCAGCTCTGTGTATGCTCATCCACTCTGTGAGCAAACACCAGCTGGGTGAAAAGTTCAGGAGAATTTTTCCAAAGGAGCTGGAAATTGTTCAAGCAGAGATAAGCCACAGCTTTTACAAATGACAAAAAGCTGTGATCCCAGCCAAGTTACGACCCTTCAGCAAACCAAGCATGAACTGGTTTGGCTGTTTTCAGAATCTAACTGCAATATCCAAATAGTGTATTACAAAAACTTGCATTCAAGAAGTTTGCAATCCTTTTTTTCTACAAACTCTTCTGGTTTGGAAGCCCAGTTACTGGTTATTCAGAAATCCTTTTCTAATTACAGCATATTTCTTTTTAGCAGGAAGATATTGTCACCACAGCTATGCTGAATGCTTCACTACTGCTCTCATATCAGGGAAAGCTGGTTTATTCATTTGAAATGTGTTTTGTTGGATTATATTCTTGCAAAAGCTTGACTTTTTATTTAACAAAACTTATTACGAAGTATTGGCGTGGGAGGATATTTTGGCTGCTCTCTCTCCTCTTTTTACTTCTTCAGTTCTCCACTGTGCTGCCAGGTCATGCTCTCAAAATTAGTGAGTTATTTCACAGCAAAATTCCTTTTGCCCTTGCCAATGTACTGTCATTTTCCAACCCAGGGAGGAAAGAAAGTGAATTTTTGGAGACTCTGAAAAACACTTGAAAATTAATGGATTCAGTGAACCCTGACCCTGCCTCTGAAGGTAGTTTGTCATTCTGTTCATCTGAGTATCAGTGAGGTCCTGGCTCTCTGATGATTTGCATCACCTTCCTCCAGCCAGTTCTGATGCCTTTGCCTGGTCTTCCTGGAAAGTAATTGTGTCACTGAAACACTCTTTTTTCCCTGAGCACATGCTAAGGGGAGCTAGCCACCATCTGCAAAGAACATGAGGCTCTGTGAGGGACTGGAACACTTCCAAGCACCACAGATTCTGGGCAGGAAGGTTCAAGTGTGAAGAAACATGTGGGTACATGGACTGTGAGGTTCTTGCTGGAGGAAGACAAGCATGGCTGCTCCAGCAAACAGCAACACTTAGGGTTTGTAGGAGGCATGTTTCACCCAGAAAATGGGTTTAACATCCCTTGGCAGCACTTCGGTGAGCTGTCAGCGTGACTCAAGCTGTGTGTTCCATCTCAGGAGGACACCAGTGAGGCTGGTGCAAGTTAGTAGGGCAGGGCAAATCTGGGTAGGGTGTTATCCGGATTCTTGTAAAGAATATGCCTCTGGTACATCCATATCAAACACCTTGTAATACAGAACTGCAGATAGAAGGCATGATCCCAAACTTCTATGCACAAGAGGAAAGCAAACAGGAATATCCATCTGCTTAAGCCATATTAACAGACTGAACCGTGGCAGGTGTTCAATAAAACATGGGCCAGCAGCTGAGCTGGTGTGAGTCCATGGATATTAGCATCACTGAGATCAGTGTTCCTGACCTATTGACTGTACAGATTCTGCTGAGTGTACTTTGAAGATTTTAATGGGAACAGGATGGTAAAGAAAGACAAATATCTACATAAAGTCTTTCTAAATAAAAGCTAGGCTTCCAAGGAACCACAAAAATGAAGACCTGTAAAATCACACCCTGTAGTTAGGTTTCCTCAGTCTGCAGAGAGGATCCATTTTCCCTTAAAAACTTAGATATCAGGAGAAAATTCATGCTGTCCTAAAAGCAGTGCTTAAATCATCTGGGGTGATGGTCCTTCAGATATACATCTGCCTCCTTTAGCTATCCCTAAAATTTTAAAAGGCTGAAGGCACGTGAGATAATTCCCGTGCTAAGAGTGAAACTGTATGCAGCACCTTAGTGGATTTAGGCAGAGGATGAGCATGCAGCTTGTCAATATTTTATCATTCTGGCATCTCAAGATGGTTAGCTGTCAGTGTCTGGGCCAGCAGGAGCCCCTCCTTTAGAGAGGTTTCCTCTCTAAAAGCTGCATTTTCTGTGGAAAATGTCTTGTGCTGGCAAACAGGGACAGAAAAAGCAGAGAAGCAGTTTCAGCATCATTTTTCAACACGCAGCCAGACCTGGGATGCCAATGACATAAGAAAGACTTCCCAAGTCTTAAACCCACAGATCCCAGAGATGTGCTGTATGTTGCCTGGGGTATTTGATGAACTGGTTTCTGATCCACAGTCCTTCCAGCAGGTCTATGGGGAACAACAGATGGCAGATCTTCCAACAAACAAAAGCACAAGGACCTGTCTGGCATGTGGATGAACACCCAACAACCGACCCACATACAGCAAGAGGGACATTTTGATGCTGTCGGTCAGCTCCTATTATTCTGACTCTTCTGCCTTACAGAAGAGGAAGAAACCCCTTTGTACAAAGCGACAGTTGTTTTAAGCCAACAGGGAGCACACACCACCATACCACAAGCCTAGGTGAGCGTCTGCCAATGCCAAAGTAGCTGATGTCATAACAGGGAATGATCCACTCAAACTAGGATCACGTTGCTGGCAAGAAACTTCAACCAAATAGGGCAGGATTGACCAGAAGCCTCTCTCTGACTTCCTGAGGGATTTCATATGCAGAGGAAAAACACTAGGAAATACACTAGGAGCACTTAACGCATCTTTGGCTATCCTGTGCTGCTAAATTGAATGCAGAAAGCAGCCACCATTCACCAGAGATTCTCAGTGCTTTCTTTCAGAGCCTGAGGCATGGGTAAGGGCTTTTTGGGGGAGTGGGGGTTTTGTGGGAGGGAGGTGTGTTCTGTCATCTGCTTAGGCAAATCAAGATATCACAGGGAGTCACAGGCCAATCTCTCTTTTCATTCTAAGGAAGGACACCTGTAAATTATAAGAAAGGAAAAGCAAGAGTCAACAATATCAGGAACTTATGCTTTATTAACAGCCAGTCCCATAATGATAAGAACTCCCTCCTTTCAAAGCCTCTGAAGTGGAAAACTTTCACTTCATTCGCCACCTGCCTCATCAGTTCCACAAGATGTTCCCAAGGCCTGGTCATTCTCTCAATCATATTGTACAGAGAACAGACCAGTCCAGGTCGAAGTGGGGTTGTTTGTAGTTGAGAACATTCAGAAGCTGAATCTCTGCTGTTAATATAAGCTTGTCCTTGGACACCCCAACCACACCAGAGCCATGTACCAGTCTGGTGTGGGTACCCTGGCAAACAGCAGCGCTGCCTCATTCATACACAGGGCTCCAACAGCTTTTGGCTGCTTCAGTCACATAAGAGGAAGGGGGGCTCAGTTTTACATTCTCCCAATTGCACCTTGACCAGAGGCACATGGTCTCCCTGGAGAATCTCTTTGGCTTGGTCCCTCCAGCTCTGTGGGACAGATCTGTAACAGCACAAAGGTCTGGGTGACATGAAGGTTATGAAGATTTGCCAGTCAGCCTGAAGTCACACAAAAAATCTGATGCAGTACCTTTCCCATGGTTGTTGGACTATATGATCTTCAGAGGTCCCTTCCAACCCTAAATCCTCTGTAATTCTGTGATTAATATAAGCAGAATCTGAGTCTACCTTGCTGTAATCACAGCTCAACCTGATGGCCAACCAGTTCCTTTTGTTGTAAATTTTAAAACTAATTACCATGGCTAAATCTGCACTTCAATGTGAGCAGAAGCAATAGTCAAATCAATCCTATTTATGCTTACAAGATTTTATCACCTGAAGGATCTTGACTAAGGGAATTAGCCTATAGGGGGGTGAGAACAACATTTGGGGGTCTCTGAACAACTCATGAACTGAATTGCCTGGCTAACAATTAAGTCGTTGACGATCCCTTTGGAAGTAATTACCTTCCACTGCCTAATAAGACAACACTTGACAGGATTATTTACCACCTCATTGCACCTATTTGTCTAATTCAGCTGCTCTGTTTTCCACATTAAGCACTATTACAAAACATCCACTTTGTGTCATTGGTCTCTAAACGACATCCACAGGCTTCCAGCAATGGTGTGGAAGGATGACAATACCAAACAACCTCTAATCAAACACAACTATCAAGGTACATAAGGCTGCATTTTGGCCAAGCACCACAGTCACTGCTGGACCTCTGAGAGTATTCGTAACCGATTTAACTGTCCCCAGGAGGGATTTGCCTTGCAAACTGGAAGGGAAATGAATGCCCGAGCCACTGCTTTTATGATCAATGAGTATCTTATACAGTCATTTTCCCACCTTGAGGATAAGAAAGTGATTTTTAAATCAAGATAATAACTCAAAATCTTGAGGGCTTGAAACTGCATGCCAAAGAAAGCTTGATGTCACTGGAAAAATATTTTGGTTTGATGTCATATTGCATTTGTCAAAAATATTAGCTTAAATTAATTAAAAACCATATTGAGACATAAATATCATATTTTGGGTTAAAAATATCACTAGATCATTTAAAATTGAAACACTTGTCGAGGCAAATATTCTCCTGGAAAGAACTTCAGTTTTGACAAGTATTATTTTTTTTAGCTATTCATTTATTCAAATTCTAAATGTATACATCTTCTGTAAATTGCTAATGACCTTCACCAAAGAATCACTCTCAAATTCTCCATATAGAGGAAAAAAGCACCTACAGAACCTATCTGGGGAACATTTCAGAACAAAATCTGTTTTACCTTATTTACAGTATGTGCTTGGAGATATTTAATGTGCACAAAAGGCACAGACATCTTAGTAATGTGGCTGTACCTTTTGATCAATCACAGTTTATATTCAAAGCTTATAACAAGTAAACTATGTGCACTTCCTAAAAATCCCAGCAGCCAATATTTCTATTTCTGTTTCTGTCTAATTTACATTCATTTTACATTGACTAATTAGTTTCCACTCAAGGATTAGAAGGCAGTAGGCTGGTTAGGTTATAAGTGTAAACACACCATGTAGCAGTATGCTGATCCCTGCTTTCGATCAGAAGCTTTGAGCAAAGCCACTGCCTTGAAAAAAGGCCAATCTGTCAACTTTTTTTATTCACACGTGCTAAGTTTCATTCCAGCTCAGGAGATATTCAGAAAGAATAATTGTTTCTTTCCAGATGTTTGCTGACTTCCACATATATTTTGGGACTGTGAGGCAAGTACTTAATGCTGCAAAATGTTATATTGTTACTTCATGGCTAGAGCAGAAAAGTTGTTTGGTGGCTTAAGATGAGTAATTGTATTAAGGCAGAGCTTCATTTGCATTTAAACAATTTTTTTTACATACTTCGGGTATTTATTGCAAATTTACAATAGCTGAAGCGTTAACATTATGCTGTTTTCACTGAACTCCTGCCAAACTCCTGCAGCCAGTCCTGGGGATGGAATTCATAGAGTTTGGCTCTGAGTGCCACAGACTTTTACATTTGATCCAGGAAAACGCTTCCAGCCAGATATTTGACAAAAACATAACAAAATTATTAATAAGGCCAGCAAAATGAATGGACTTGTAACTGAAGAGTGGCCTTGGGGGTTAAGCAAGGAAAACTGAGGCTGTATTTGGGCTCTGAAACTTCAATATGAGGTAAATTAGCACAATTCAGTTTTTCCTTGTGTCAGACTGGCAAGTCATCACTCACCTTCACAGATGTGCTGTGAAGTCAATTGCTCAAGATAATTTTTCTAGTCCTAAGAAGCCCCAAATGTTGTTAATGATTATTCCCACAGTACTGTCAATCACCATAAATCTAAGTCATGAACTAGGCCAGACCAAGACGAGATTCCAGGTATTCCTGAATTCAGAACCTAGTAATTAGGGTAACTTATCATACATCCTTCATCAAATTAGTTAGATCCAGATTGCAAGAGATATTTTGGTACTTCAGGATATAAATGACTAAAGTCAGTATTGAAAATGGAACTGTGAAGTTACTCAACACAAGGCTGGATGAAGAAAAACCATCTCAATTCTGAACTTTGCCAAGCAGGAAAATTGCAGTCTATCCACTTGGGGGAAAAAAATAAAGAAAAAGAAAAGAGAGAAATAATATATGCAAAGTACTTTGAGAGTTTAATGCAGATATACAATGTATCACCTATTAGAGTCATCACAGAGTAATACCTAAATAGAATAGACATTTATTTGGCTGAGAGCTACCTGAGACAAATGTCTGAGAGAGAATTCAGGGCACAGACAGACATACAGAGAAGAACACAGGGGTATCTTTTCCTTTTGGTGAACTTATGAAGGATACTTATCCTGCAACAGAGAGAATCGTTATAGCAGCTGGAAATTTTATACTGGCCCTGGGTCCACATGTTGTGGCTTTTGTCACCTGCAGATGCCACCTCTGAATGGTGATGGTGAATCTGCAACAGCCTGAGGAACCAAACCTCAAATGCAAAGGCATCAGTATTTAGACCAGGACAGAGAAGGCATTCCCAAGTCACACTCTGAAAACAGTTCTACTTCTCCTTGAAAACTTCTACAGGACATGGTCATTGCCCAGTCAATATCCAAGTTATCCTGTTTAATAAAGAAAATAACTTCCTTTATTCCAGAATCAGAGTCAATTTTTCATCTTCCTTGGCCCATGGAAATGCCATATGTATTACAAAACTTATCGTGACTTCATTAAGGAGAAGATCATAAGCTACTCTGTTTGCCTGGGGCAAGGTTAGATTGTTTAATGAAGAAAGAAAATATTTTGTGTTTTAGAACCTCTCTGACAGAGTTTGCACTGTGCATACCACAATTTATAGACTTTGTGGAAAGAGATGGTAAGCATCATTCCAGAAATGTGAAATGAGACAAATCAATGGAAATGAGAAAACCAGTAGTCCATATAGGTGTCAGTAAACTGCTTGATTACCTTGGCTTTGTTTTAATGAGATTATCTAATGAACAGCCTTTATCTTTAATAGCCTACTAAACAACCAACGATTATGAACTGGGTTGTTTCGGGATTCTTTAACTGGTTATTTCAAATGAAATGCTCCATTTCCTTGCTTTAAAAACATGGTGCAGTTTTGCTCTGATATCTGCACCATCAATGATGGCACCAGCTTTGGGCCATGGCGGCTCACATCTACTGCTTGAATGGGTCTCTTATGAGTATGAAACTCAATAACACAAGGCATAAAACTTCAATGCAATTTCAGGGAAAATACTGCCCATTATTGATCACAGCATCACTGCTGTCTGGTTTAGCTCAGTTCATTTCACAAGTATAAATAATAACCTCTATAATAACCTCTTGCTGCCCTTTCAATCAGTTACACAACAGGGCCACCCAGACATGGCTGCATTATCTTACTTCCCAAATAGCAAAGGCATGGCAGAGAGGTCTTGTCCTGCCTGTACACAGGATCAATCTTCGCTGCACTCTTGCCACAGAAGCCCACGAGCTCTGAGCACACATGGTTATGAGGCACTGCCTATCCCCCATGGGATGCAGCACAAGTCCTCGAGGTCCTTGGAGATCTGCCAAGTCCTCGAGGCTGGAAGTAGCCCAGCAAGGAGCATGCAGACAAGAGACTGGAGTGTGCTGCACTCTTGCAACCACCCCCTGGGGAGAGCAGGCACCAGGGTTTAGCTGGGGAGGGCCAGCTGGAAGTTGGGACCAGCCCCACTGGCTCTGCGGCAGCATGGGCGCTCCCTGGGGCAAGTCCTGCTGTTTTCTGGTGCTTTGCTCTGCAGCAGATTTAAAAAGAAAAAAATCCTATTTGCAGTAAAACCTTTGGCCTTTCAAAAGGCTTGCAGATGCTCCATGAAAGGCAGTGCTTGGTAGCTGAATCTGTCACCACTTCTAAGGAGATCTTCTGGCCCCTTGGGAACTAATCTGATGACCTGAGATCCATAATTGCTGCTCCCTGAAGCTCCAGTAGATAACCCTATACATAAATCACCATAGCAATCCAAACATCAGAAAAGCACTGCTTTTTTTTTTTTTTCCCGCCTGTCTAACAGCTCTTCCAGTTTCCAAGCATGACATTCAGAGAAGAGGAAGATGAAGGTCAGGACAGACTAGCAGGAAAAGAGTGGTTTTGCAGGGACTTTGACCAAAAAGTTCTCACTACTAAGCTAAACAACACAAAGAGAATTGCATTTGTGCATTTAAAGTATTAAATATTACAGCTGATGTCTCACTGAGAGCGGCAAGAACTGCTATGGTTCCCCTAAAGTTGCTTAAAATTATGTGTTCCTTCACAAAAAGCCAGGAAGCTCATTTGACTGATGGAGAGAAGAGAACCCAGGTTGTCCCCCCCTGTAAGACAGAGGCAGGAATTGCTCCATTGCTGCAGTGGGAATTGTGCCACCATGGCAGCAGCTGCAAAGAGCAAAACCAGCAATAGCACATCTGGCTGATCACTGCACAGATTTACTTTTCTTATTAGGGAAAACCCTTCTCAGGTACATCTAAAAGCATCAGAAAGCCCTTTCTCTAGGTCCTTGTGGTGCTCAGCTGCTGCTCTAGCCTCCAGGAAGCAATGGCATTGGCATCTGCTACCATCACACTCTTTTACTCAGTTCACTGAATTCAAGGAGTCCAAACACACATCAATTCCCAGCTCCAAAATTCCTTCCATCAAGCATGTATGTGTCAGATGCTCTGAAGTTTCAATCTCCTGTGTATTATATTTGACTCAAGCTGCCACGGGCTGATAAGGACCTCAACAGTTGAGCAAATGTTCATGCAAAACATTAAATTCTGTTTTAAGAGATCATTTCCAGAATAATTCTGTCATTTCTGAGTGGCCAAAACCATTACAAGATTCCAGTGCTTGAAACCTTGTTTAATATGAGTTGCCAGTTCCTGAAATGTAAACCACCTGGATTAATTTTAACTGCATTCATTTCAAGAATGTGGAGCTAATTGGTTGCTAAATCACTAAATCAAGTGCAATTCATAAATAAGTGTATAAATAAGTGGTAACAAGTGTTCCTGGCTACTTTGATGAGGATGACAGAGAAAAATAGAGGCAAACCTGCTTTTTTTTCAGGTTTTTTTTTTCCCTAAGGGCTTGTGTTTTGCATGGAAAGCACATATTTACTCTGTTTACAAAGACAGTTTGTTCACTGTCCCAAACTTCATGTAGTCCAAATAATCTCTTTTGTTAGTCTGAACAGGTATATTCAATCTAATTCAATGCATGGAGAAAAAGAATACAATTAAAACAGTAACAGGGATACAGACAATCTTTCCACATCAGGATAGCACTTCTTGAGCTGCAAGGAAGTTTATGCATCCAAGGCAAGTGTGAAGCAGAATCCTTATTGACAAACCAGCTGGCCAGAACTGCCCTTGGAAAGCCTGACTTTATGCCACGAGATGATCTCTGCTGTTGGGCTGTGTGCCTGTCTTTAAGCCAAACTATTGCAGTGCCCAACTGCAGTGGATCCCACTGCCTTCTTTGTAGGCTGAACTTCTGGACAAACCAAGAAGGTAGGGGAACTAAGCACATAGTTCAATAGAGAAAAATAAACCCCTTGTTCTATGCTCTTCCATGCTCTGGTATTATTAATGCTTCCACGCTGAAGAGCTATTTGATTGCACATAGCCTGGGACTCTAGATGATTTGTTAAAGTCCCAGCTCTTCCATAAACTTCACACCCAATCCAATCCTTGAGAAATCTATTTGAAAGATCTTTAGGTACTGAAATTTCATTTATATAAACAACAGGAAAACATCAAAATAATTTGTGGTCATTATTGATCTTCAGTTGCCATCATAGATGCAATTTTCCATTTTATCTTTTCAGTGTCCACAGTAAGGTGAGGGGCATGGCAGAGTCAACTGATGACCTCTGGAGGACTCTCCCAACCAGCATTTTGAATCTATGACAGTGTGAACTGGTCAGTTCTCTCCAAATTCAGACTGAAGAGTGAACTAACATTTCATCAGCTCAGATAGTCATGTGAACCAAGACCTTCTTCACGAGTCAGAAACATGTCGTGGACTTCCTCAAATCCTTCAATACCTTCTCCCGTGCAGCTGTTTCTGCCTCGCACAGCTGGGAAGGCTTTCTGTTCAGAGTTGTCCCCTCTTTCCACAGGGAAAAGCATGCCAATCTTTCCATATGGACATGGAAACCAGCTCACCTCATCCTGCAGGGAGACTACCACAGGCTGCCATGCAAACAGCCACTCCCAGACTGCCGACGTCACAACCAGCATCCAGCTTTACCCACTCTGTCAACAAAGTTCACAAACACCATCTGAAATTAGATGATCAGGATCAAGGAATTCCTTTCCTAATCCCTGCAGGAATCCTGGGAAAACCAGCATAAGTCAAGACAACTCAGTATCACCCTTCTCATTCTGAAATATTCCTCAGCAGAGAAGAAGAGGAGGTAGGTTTTTTGCTACCTGCTCTGGATGACTGATGGTCTCAGAGAGGAGGGAGCTCTGATTACCCCAGCTTTCATTGCAGCCTGTATAAAATACTGAAGTCTGGGGTTTCCCAGTCATCAGTCTCCACTCCTGAACTTGTCTGCTCTGACCTTCAAGAGCCAGCATGTCCTACCAAACCCCACCAGCTCTTCTCGTTGAAGCGATTTCAGCAAACTCTGTATAGGGTTTAAAAGAAAGAAGCTGGTACAGGCATTCTTCTGATTTGTATCAAGTTTTGCTCAGCTTCCTATTTCTTCAGGGCTTTATTTTATATCCTTCTACTTGCCTCAGTAACCACATCCTATTTTATGTGTGATATACGTACAACTGCCCTCATATTCCCATTCAAACTTTTCCATTACTGTAGTGGTTTGAACCTTGTTCTCCCCAGAGGCTAAGAGAAGTGGTAGACCCCAAGGGGTGGAAACCCCTGGAAGTTTTGAAGTTCTGCCCAATGGGCGCTCCTGCAGAAATGTAAACATATCACAACCAGACCGGAAAAGAAGAGTTGTTTTTTGGTTGTGTAGGAGAGGTGGCCATGTCGTAGAGCCACGAGGTAGGGGCTCTGAGCCCCTTGGGGCCTCTGGCCCCCCTCCCAGCCCCTGGCTTGGGGGCTGCAGGGACCTGGAACAGCATAAAGCTGGGCTAGGTGCCTGTAGTTATGCCGGGAGATGTTTTCTCCATGGGCGCAGAGCAGCAGCCGACACTGGCCAGAGAAACGGTGGCAGAGAGCCAGAGATAAGACCTGAACTGAAGGAGCAGCAGAAGCAACATGCAGCACCAGAGAAAAGACTCCTGGAAGGAGAGCCGAGGAAAGGAGAGCCAGCAACTGAGAGCTACAGAGTTCTTGGGGGTAAGACTGTACCACACTCCCCCAAAACTCCCTTGAGATCCCTCTTGGAGAAGAGGGACATGGACTCCTATTTTGGAGAGCAGTTTTAGACATGCAGCACCGGAGAGAGAGGAGCTGAGAAGCTCGGAGCGTCCCGCAGCTGGACCGGGACGGCCAGATGGAATGTGGGGGGGGCGACCTTGGCTTCCCCCCCTTGCACTGCTGCCACGGTGGCAGCCTGAGAGACAGGGCACAGAGGCCCTGCAAGGAGCTTGAATCTCCTGGAGATACCAGACCGTCACGAAGACCCCCCTGTGTCTTCGTGATAT